TGACATCTGTCAAGGAGAAGCATTGAAGAAAAGCGCAAATCCCGGTACTTTGACAGAAGCCACCTACTTCAATGAGATCATCGAGATGGACACTTTCCATATGAAGTGGAATGATGAAAAAGTTCGCATCCTGGCAGTCATTGATTTGTTCACGAAGTATGAGGTGAACGCATTGTTGCCAAGAGAAACAGAAGAAGCAGAACTGCAAGTGCTGGAGGAGTTATGGTTCCATCCTTTCGGCTTTCCAAGTCGATTGAAGACAGATGCTTCGGGAGCACACATGAGCCAGAAGTTTCTGGACGTCATGGACCAATACAAGATCAAGCTGGTGTTGATTCCAAAGGAGGCTCATTTCAAAATGGGTACTGTGGAAAGATTGCATGCAGTGAGGCGTCTACAGTTGCTGAAGATGAAGAAAGAGATGCCCAATGTCGATCTGCAGCAAGCAATTCGAACAGCATGCACACAGCGCAATCGGCTACGCAACATTCATGGCTCATCACCAGCTGACTTGGTCTTTGGCAGAGCTCCCAATGCATTGGCAGGTCTCATTGATGAACCTCAAGATCTACGACCCGATTTGCCGGCAGCAGCTCAAGATTTAGTAGTTCTCCGGACTCTTGCAGCCAAGACATTTCATGAAGCCAACAATGATGCCCTTCTGAGACGTTCTCTTTTGGCAAGACCAAGGTCCGACCATGAACCTTTGCCACTTGGTTCTTGGGCATACTACTGGCGGCAGGGAGATTCCAAGCTCGAAAGCTCTCGATGGCGAGGACCTTCTTTGGTTTGCATGGTTGAGCCAAAACCCATGAGCGATTCCGAGAAGTTTCGACCTCATGTTTACTGGTTAGCTCATGGTGCCTCTCTCGTTCGTGTCGCTCCTGAACATATTCGTCCAGAGTTACCACGAGAACGGTTGGCACGGTTAGAGAACATGCCAGATACAGCTCAATCCACACCGGTTCAAACCCAAATCCTTGACACCTTACGTCCTGTTCGCGGTCCCGTTCGGTTCTTGGATTTGTCTTCTCAGCAATCTCCTTCCCTTGGGGGTACCTCTTTTGCGAATGCAGCGAGTCAGGGTGCATCCGTCGTTTCGGCCTCGGATAACACTGCAACCGATGCCCCGGCATCGGAGAACACTGCAACCGATGCCGGACAAGATGCACCAGCTACATTGGCAAGTGTTGCTGAGAAGAGTGCAGGTGAAACCGGAGTTGATGCAGAGATGCAAGAGCCAGAGATTCCAAAAGAAGAAGATGTCAGACCACAGAGAGAAAGATCAAGAAGTCCACCCGCCAGAGATGAGAAAGCCAAAGCCTTTCAGTCCTACAATTTGTCCCGACAGTTGGATGGAATGCCTCGAGTTGAACCCGGTGATGCAGCCTTTGAGAAACACTGGGAACAGATGGTTCAGCCCATGGAGGAGGACGAAGATTTGATGGCTGAGTCATTCCATGAATCCAAGCTCACGGACAAAGAGCGACAAGAGTTCAGCGAAGCGAAGGACAAGGCACTACGTGTTTGGCTGGAGAACAAGGCTTGGAAGGCTGTTCCTGAGACGGAGGCCAAGGACGGCGAGGTCATTCCAGCAAGATTTCTGCAGAGATGGAAACCTACGAAAGAAGGAAAAGTGGCGAATGCCAGAGTCATCATCCAAGGATTCCGTCATAAAGATGTTCTCAATGAAGAGCTGGATCGTGAGTCGCCGACTTTGAGCAGAAAAGGTCGTATGTTGATCCTGCAGTGGGCTTGTCAGTTGGGATGGAAAGTTTTTGCAGCCGACGTGAAAAGTGCTTTCATGCAGTCCAAGTCCATCGATGAGGAGACCCGCATCTATATCCGACCCACTGCTGAGATGAGAAGACGATTGGAGAGACTCATGGATCTCAAACCATGGGAGCTTCTCAAAGCCACCAAACCGGCCTTTGGTGACGTGAGAGCACCAAGGCAGTGGTATGAGTCAGCAAAAGATTTCCTGATCAATGAGGCCCAGTTCCTTCAGCATCCTTTGGACAATTGTGTTTTCCTGAGCGTGAGGCTTGCATGCAGAGGAGATCATGATTTCCAAGTGTTTGAACACCAAGGCAAGCAATACATTGTTGATGGGATTCTTGGTTTGCATGTTGATGATTTCCTTGGTTGTGGCGAAGGAGTGCATGCAGTGGAGGATGTAACCGGAATCCGTGAGGAGACAGAAGCGCAGAGGACAACACATTGTTTCAAGAGCAGGTTGCAGAGTTTGGCACAAAAGTTAGGTTCGGCAGTTGGGACTTTGGTCGCAATTCCAAGATCCTATTTTGTGGAACATCATTGGAGCAAAGCATTGGGTATGACAGCTTGACATTGAGCCTGAAAGAATATGTGCAAAAGATCAAGCCGATTACCTTGGACAAGCAGAGGAAGACCATGAGCGACGCGCCATTGGAGCCCAAAGAAACGAAGATGCTGAGAGCACTCATTGGCGCGTTGGCTTGGCCGGCAGGACAATGCCTACCTCAGTTGTCCGCTTCAATCTCATTGTTGCAAGCATCGTCGAGCAATCCAACAGTTGGTGACATTGTGCAAGCAAACAAGTTGTTGAGATTTGCAAAAGACGTTGTTCAAGGCTACAACATGACCTTGAGGCGACATGGACAAAGCTTGTCCGAGATGCGCTTTGGTGTGTACATGGACGCATCATGGGGAATCAGGCCTGACGGCTCTTCCCAAGGCGGGCACACGATCTTCATTGGCACAGAGGATGAGATGAATGCGGGGAAGCCTTTTCCTTTGACCATCATCAGCTGGCATTCTCGAAAGTTGAACCGCATGTGCAGGTCTTCATTGTCGGCAGAAGCACAGTCAGCAGCGAGCGCAATTGATGAAGTTGAATGGACCAAGATTTTCGCTGCTGGGATGGTCAGTCCCTACATCTCCATTGCCGATGAGGGCGTGCTCCAGATGTTCGGCCCGACTCCTGCTTTGACAGATGCAAAGTCTCTTTTCGATTCTGCAAGGTCAGTGTCTGCAGGTCTGAGGCTTACAGAGAAGAGAACAGCAATAGAAGTCGCAATTGTGAAGGAAAGGTTAGCTGCGATGCTTGGAGAAATGAAGTGGGTGAACTCGGCACAGCAAGTTGCAGATGGGCTCACGAAACCAGGAGCCAAAGATAGTTTCTCGCATGTTCTCAGGCGAGGAGTTCACTCATTGAGATTTGATCCAAACTTCACGGCGGCCAAGAAGGTCACCAGAGAAGAGAAAGAAGGTGAAGAGAAAGAACACGATGAAGCCGCCAAGATGCTTTTCCACGGTGAACTGTTGATGACCGAGGAGATTGCAGCTGGAGTATGCCAGAAGCCTGGTTGTGGGAAGTCGCTTGATGCTTCACAGCAGCACCACCGGTATTGCAGTCGAAGGCATTTTTACAAGCACTTCAACCAGCGCAAACTTGGTGAAGACATGTGGAAGAAAGCAGCACAGATGGCAATCCTTACATTGGCAACACAAGGTGCAGAGGAAGCAGGTGTTGAAGCAGCTGATACAAATCAGACAGCATCGGGAAACACTGCAACCGATGACTTCCGAGTTGTGTTGACATTGTTGGTGATTTTCCTGTTTTCATTCATTGGCATGCAGAACGTTGCTTACAAAGCATACAGGTGGTTTTTGAGCATTGTGCAAGTTCTTTTTCCCCAGCCAGTGATGGTGAATGAGAACGCGATTGAAGAAAATGAGGCGAATGACGACGATGAAGTTCCTGAGATTGACTCAGATCCTAGCCATGGCACCATTGCAGAGATGGAAGCCGCACAGAACAACCAGGTGAATGATGATGATGCCGGAAGCTCTTCCGTGAACGATGATCCAGAAGTGTCACCAGAAGAGTGGGATCGCTGGTACCAAATCAAAGAAAGTGTTGAGAATGAAAGAGGACAAAGGAAGTGGAAGAAAATTCTGAATGAAGTGGTCCTCAACTACCAGCACCCCATGATCGACAGCGCGTTGAGAGGAGTAATGATTGAAGAGAATTGGACAGACAACCGCTGCAAGTCTTACAAGAAATTGTTGGACATTGAGGACACCTCCGGTTGCACTTCGGACCAGATTCGCCTCTGGAATCGTCATTGCAATGAAAGGATGCTCTTCATGATTGAGGTGAGTGCAAAGGTAAAGAAACAAAAAGAACAGATTGAGTTGTTGGAACGCACCCTGGCCAGGAAAGAAAGGCTTGAGCAGTTGGAAGGCATGGAGCGCTTTCGACAAAGAGTGAGTGATTGGGAAGTCAAAGACAAGGTGTGCCAGACACCGTTCACTTTCAGTTCGGCGCGCAATAGGTTGGTTGCTCTCCCTGACCATGCTCACGGCTCATACGAGTTTCAGAGCGATTTTTACAACAGGTGAAAAGAGCAATGGCGTCAAGGCCAAAATTTTGTATTTTCTCCAAAAGGAATTTTACATGGTCGAGATGGGCTCGAACGAAAGAGCTTTCCTCCTGTGTCAATTCCTGCATGACGCATACATACGTTTGAGTGATTTTCGTCCGACCGACACATCTCGGATCAATACAGGGCCCTTGACGCCACCCCGTGCTACGACATATGGAAAACAGGTGATTCGTTGACGACAGAACTTGGCCGAGACTTCGTGGGCTTGCGAACATCCAAGTTGATACCAGTCCCATTGGGTGTTTGAGATATGAATGGTGTGTAGCAAGTGACCGGTACGATGACGATCGTCACACCCTGATGCTCCCCACATGTGGCACCAGGATATATACCGACCGGTTGACCTACCTGGAAGGTCGTTCGCTGCATGGTGGACCAGGCTCCAGGTTTTGACCTCATCCCCTCATCCTCCGCTACACTGAGAACAAGCTGAGAGGACATCTCTTCACACTCAGCCCCCCGGGTTTGTCCCACCGAACACATGAACCGAACAGACTACTGGGGAGGTAGACACCGTAGACACCTACCCACCCGGGGTGGCCCGGGTGACTCAGATCTGGCCCAAGCAACGGTCCAAAGGGCCACAAACCTGCAGTGTTGTCTTCGGGCCTCAGTTCCCCAGTCCAAGCCGTGACCACAGTCTTGAACGAAGGTGTCCAGGTTCTGCATGGCCATGTTCAAGTCCCGAGAATGCAGCAGCTTCTTGACGAGCTTCAGCAGGAAAACCTCGGGTGGTCGGGGTGAGAGATGGTGAGAGCATGTCCCGGGAGTTTCGCACGAAACATCGAAGCAAATGTTTCAGGCTGTGCATGATGTGCATTCGTTGGTCGAAGCCAACTGTTTCAGGTGGCCATGCTGGTTCGCAGCTTTCCGTGCTGTGCTTTCGTTTGGCCATCTACTGTGACAAGAGGCAGCTACCGTGCTGAAAATCAAGGTTGCAAGGGTTGTCCATAGCTCTCCAGAGTGATGCCAGCCAAAGTGGAACATCACAAACACCAGCACCAGCTGGCTGACGTTCAACAGAACAATAATAGCACAAAGAGTTTGACCTCAATTGCTAAAACAAAAAGGGAGGAAAACAACACGCAAACATGTGCAAACACCACATCAATATTATGAATCAGTATATCAATCAGCAAAGCTCATGAATATCTTCTGATCTTGATTCTTTTTTGACATCAATCGCTCTTCCTTCCGCGGGTTGGAGATCAACTGTCATCGAGTGACTTACTAATCTTACTAACGGTGACGGGTTGTTTGGGGCTCTACTGCCAAAAAGGCTTGTTTGGGGGAGAAAATATGTCTCAGGTGGGCCAAATGTTCTGGGTCAAGGTGCTAAAGTTCAGCCAAAGGTGTACTCCGATGTTGTCAGTGAAGATCTCGCAAATCTCGGACTCGGCTGCAGCACCTAAGATTCGGTGTTCTTGCTCTCGAGCCAAGCAGTGGACTGTAGAGCCTCTTCGTGCAAGCGTCATTCCTGGTGAACGGGGAAAAAATGGACGTGAAAAAACTCTCCATGTCATGGCTAGTAGCCACATGCTTACTTCGTATTCTCCTCCTTGGCAAGTTGACGATCATCATTCATGTCCTCTGTTCGTTCGGACAATCATCGGTAGCTAGATCCCACCCCCCTGAACCCCCCTCAGATTCTCCAGATAAAACTTCTTAGCACGTTTTGTGCTGCAAAAATGAACTTTGGACACCCAAACCAGAGGCCTCTCCTGACGCAGCAGTCTGTGCTTTCTCCGGTAGCTTCTGTGGTTCCACTGGCGGTGGGTCGGCCAAGGGCGGTGGGTCAATGGCCACCGGTATCACGGCCTCAGGGGGGAAAACCCACCCTCCCTCCAGGAACTGTTTCAACTCTTGTCGTGCAGTACATGTGGTACTTAATTTCACAACTTCTTAGAACAACTTAGAGACTCTGTCTATTTTGGGGAGGGGAGGCGGTGTATGGATTGCCATGTCTGTTCACCCCTCTTAGGGTGAGTTTCAACCCCAACTCGCCGCCTCAGGCGCACACCCGGGCACCACCCGGGCTGGCCCCTTAGCACGGAGCTCTCGGCTTCGGCGCACGGGGTTCGAGTTCAGCACTTGGGACGCGTCCAAATCGCTGCTGATCTGTCGCCTGTTTCGGATGGCTGAGGCAGAAGTGGGTTCAAATCGAAGGCAAATGGCTTTGGAACAGTTCAAATGAGAATTGCTGGCTCCAAGTGGAAGACCGTCCATTGTTCTGTTGGTTGTGAAGGAACTGTTGGAGTCGTCAATTGGTTCGTGCCAGTGTCAACCCGGCAGATGTGCCAGAAAATCCAACGATGAAACTCTCAAGCTTTGGCAGAAAACCACACAGTTATTACTACTGCATAGTAGTAATTACCAGGACACCCTAAGGGGCTTCTATTGATAGCCCCTTAGATGTTAAGGCTGTTAAGGGGTGTCCATTAACCACCACTTGTGGGTCCTGGTAATGTTGGATGCTGATTAGTAAATGGGCCCTCTATAATGCTAAATTTTTCCAAAATTATTCCAGACCCCATGTTTGAAAAATGGTTCCTGAATAATGCTAACTTTTTTGGGGGCCCTAAATTTTCAATTTGGAAACCCAATTAATAAGGGTTTGAATTCCTTCTGAGGCCAATGATTATGATTCATTAGCTGATATAGCTTTCTCTAGGTTTCTTCAAAACTGACAGCTGACCAAAACCACCAATTCCCCAATTAAACCC